GTGTGATAATATTAGTGCTATCTACATGACAATTGATCATTTTCTTATGCAACGACAAGGTATATTGAGTTAGAGTATTATTTTGTGTGCGAAAAATGTTGCTTTAGGATTACTCGTCACTGGGTTTGTTTCCTCTCATAATCAAATAACTGATATATTCATCAATCCACTGCAATGAGATGTTTTTCAAAATCTTTGCTTCAAACTTGGACTTTTCCCCAACCGAGTCAGAGGGGGAGTAATAAAAAACAAACTTCAAGAACCCTAGTTTTTGGAAAGGCAACAGTTGAAATATTGCTATTTCCTATTGAAAGAATGTAACAAGATAGGAAAATGTATATTGCATGTAACAAGATAGGAAAGTATATATTGCATATAAAAATATAGAAAAATGTCCGTTATACAATTGTATCACTATTATATGTACAATAAGAAAACTACCATAATGTATATGTCGTGCACAATTATCTTTTCAAAAATTCATTTTTCTCTAAAATTCTTTAGGCCGTTCCATATTTCACTTTAATGTGGAAGTTGCATGAAGCGACGGCTTCGAAATATCATAGCAATTCCTGAAATTGAATATGGGAAATGCCACTATTTTGGGAAGATGCATCTTCTAAGGCCGCAATTCCTGAAATCAAACATGTTATAAATGTAGTTCTATTCAAGTGCAGTCTCCTTAAAAAAAAACTCTATTTTAGAGATTGATTTTAATTTTAAAACTACACGTCAATAATCTTGATCAGCACGATCATAAACTTAAATAAATAAATATAAAAATTAAGAATTTATTTTTTTTAAATTAAATAACATAAAGAGTCGAAAAGAAAAGTTTGAATTAATTTACTTCAAGGTGTAAACCTTAATTTTAATTTTCCATTTTGGCTGATATACCAAAACCCCATCCTTAATACTAAGGTTTTCAGAACCATATAGAGTTAGGATATAGTTTTATACTTCAAATTTAAAACTTTAAAATTAAATGCCTGAAAATGTTTTTTCCAACATCTAACAAGGTTTATGCATCTCATAGATCGCATATCAGTTTTCCCTAAATGTTTTTTTTGTAGAGGGTGGGGTTTATACCAGGCATCAACATTAACAATCAAAGTAATGCCAACCTCCAAAGTCCAAACCTTGCCAAAGTTGCGGTTCGATATCGGAAATCATACGATGGTCTGAAAATACATCTAATTATGATATTTAAAGATAAAAAAATTTGCAGATTAAGTAAATTTATAAATGCTTGGAAACTTAAGGGGAAGCTTTCTATGCCTCCCCTACAGCATAAAACTTATATACTTCCCCTTATCCAACCGTCCATTCTGAATGGAGGGCCTAGATTACCTCAATCACAATGTCACGTCTCTATACAACTTTATTTTTAATTTTTTTCTATAAACTATTTAGACACCAAATTTTGGACATCCAATCCTCTATTAAACTCGCACTAGCGAAAAATATAAAAAAAAAGATTTCAATAAAATAAAATGATCAAAATACCCCCAAAATCTTCAAGGGGTATTTTGATCATTATATTTTATCGAAAAATTATTTTTAATATTTTTTATAGGTGCATCCCAATGAGAAGATGGCACATTCCAAATTTCATATTCATGTAATTTTTATAAAATAAAATACTTTGAGACGTCTGATCTAAGATCAAACGGTAAGTGGCACGCTTGATCAAAATTGGACTGTTGTATGATAGGGGAAGCTTTTATGTTGGGGGGGAAGTATAAAACCTTTCCCGAAACTTAAATGTGTCTAGAGAATGTGTCATAAGTTACACTATTTATAGATCCGTTTTGAAATCTTTTTTTTTTTTTAATATCAATAAATCTTGAGGTTGAGATGATATTTAAAAAATCCTTTTAGTGATGGAACAACCTTTTTTGTAGATTTTTATGTTAGGTGTTATTAAATAACATTATATTGATACCTTGTTTAAACATTTTCCTCTTGTGAATGGGCCAAAGATGTGTGAAAAAATAACAAAAGAAATAAGTGATTGTCTACAAAGAGACTATTTATCTTTTATCTTTTGTACATGGAAGTCACTATCATTCCTACTCATTAGATGTCAAATTGGATAGCTTAAGGTGACTCACAAAGTTTGAAAATTTCTTTTAGAACTTAATTAAGGAAGAATAACCACAAACAAAGAGAAATGCTCCTTTGGACACGTGCCTATTCCTAGGGCATTTGATCAGAGGAGGGTTTATCAAATGGGCGAAAATCAGAGCCGAGTGGCAAGCACCTACCATGGTGATTGAGCTAAGGCTAAGATCGTTTTTAGGGCCTGTGAACTACTATCATGTGCATTCAATGACACTCTTTCAACCATCCATTTTGAAATTTAAGGGATATGAATGATTGTGACCTCTATGTACAAAAGATAAAGGATGGGGTTTCTATGAGTCCGCTTGACTCATATATACATATGCAGTCCCCCACTAAACTCATTTTAGATGATTTTTTTTTTCTTTTTTTTGTAGATTCATCATCTAGGCCAACATGATCATAAATATGAAAAGAAAAATAAACTTTTAAAATTAAAGATATAGTTTTTTAGCATTTTTTATACATCGTTCATATCTTATTTATAGAGAATACACTTAAAATAGCATCCTCCTGCCAACCCCAATTAATTGGGAAAGGCTATGATGATGATGATACTTTAAATAATGTACATCTGTAGGTCAGCTAACTCATGAAACAATTTTCCATTGATAAATAGTCTCTTTATAAACAATCCCATAGTATAATAGCATTTGAATTCTAAGCGTCTAGTTTCAAGAACAGGAATTTAGGTGCGTCTTTCCTCAAACTCAAAGTAAATCGAAGTGTTTGAAACATAATGCTATACACAAATATAACTAAGATTTGAAGATAAGGATCCTCGCTCTTATGTAGGCTGCTAGAGCCAACTAGCCCCAAGTTTTTGCATCTAAAAGCAATCTCATTCCTACCCCTCTTTCCATTCTTCCAAGTCTTAATAAGTGCTATATTAAACATAAAGCATATGGGATTATATAATGGGAAGGCTTTTCTACGTGACCCCATCCACATATATAGTGTACATGACCCCTAGTCTCAATACCAGATCTTAGTAGTAGATGACTAAGATAGCTAGAATACTCTTAAAAATTTCAAGGGCATTTTGGTTATTTGTTTTTATAAAAATATTTAATCTTTATTTTTTCCAGGTTCGCCCTAATTTTATGATAAGACACCGGCGATGAACAATTACTAAAATATTCTTGAAAAAATCAAGGGTATTTTGATCATTTGTTTTTATAAAAATATTTATTTTTTCTTTTTCCCAGGTTCGCGCTAATTTTCTAATTTTATGATAGGACGCCCAAAATTTCATCTAAAAAATATTTTGTATAAACAAATAAAAAATAAAACAGTGTTTGGTGTGACATTGGGGTGGGTCACATATAACATATATGTTGTTGGGGCCACAAAGAAACATTTCCCAGAAACATTTCCTCTTATATAATATGAGACTATTTACCGTTATTATAAGTTTCTAGCCATTATTTGTCAAATTAGATGACTCGAAATGTGTCAAGAAATATAAGCTCTTAGCCATTAGATGGCTTGAAGTATATCAAGAAATTTTGAGAAAGTTTCTTAGAATTTTCTTTTAGCCAAACGGCTAAGAGGTGGGGTCAAATATAACATATATGTTATTGGGGACACACAAATATTTCCCATAAACATTTCCTCTTAGCCATTACTATTTACCATTACTACAAGCTACTAGCCATTAGATGTCAAATTAGATGTCTTGAAGTGTGTCAAGAAATATAAGCTCCTAGCCATTAGATGTCAAATTAGATGGCTTGAAATATATCAAGAAATATAAGGTCCTAGCCATTAGATGTCAAATTAGATGGCTTGAATTGTATCAAGAAATTTTAAGAATTTTTGAGAATTTTCTTGTAGCTTTTGAGTCAATAGCACACTCACAACCACTTGATTTGATTTATAATTGATTTATAATTTGACAGATAAGAGCTTTGATTTATAATGATTTATAATTATTTATAATTTGACAGATAAGAGCGATTGTGACCTCTTTGCACTAAGGGACGAAATACAGAGACTAAATTAGCACATACCAGTTCAATACATTATGTAGCATGAAACAAATTTACATTATGTAGCATGAAACAAATTTATTTTGAATATGGGATTTATACTATGAGATCAGCTACTATTGGTACAAGTAGGCCACAATCATTCATAACCATTAGATGTCAAATTTGATGGTTTAGATGTGTCACAAAGTTCAAATTTTGTTTTTTAAAATTCTAACTTTAATCAATGACAAGTTTCAACCACCTGATTTAAAATATGACATACAAAAGTGATTATAATCTCCTTATGTCTAAAGTAAATGATTTCTTATATACTTTATTATTATTATTATTATTATTATATTGACTTTAAAAAAGTAGCAGAATTCCAAAGAAAAATATAGTCTTAGCGACAATAGAGGAGAATTGACCAGATACACACGTTATCATCTCCACCATCAATCATGGGAATGGAGGTGGATTTCCCTGTGGTGTATACCATACAGCAAAAACCATCCAAAAGAAGGCAGAGAAATGATAATATTTTTTTGATAGATGAATAAATAAGACCCAAAGAAGATCGGAAATAATAATAAAGCTCGTATATTAAATTTCTTTTGTGTAGCAATTGCCCCTATTCAATAAAAAAAATAAAGAAAAAAAAAATCCATTCTATAAGGAGAAATGAGAACTCAAGAAAAAGCAAAAGCTGAAGGTATACCTAGTTACCGAATCTGATGATCTGCTAACATACCCACTGACACTTTCAAAAAAAACTCAAGTCCCTTACCTGTATGAAAAAACGGGTAGGCCTTAACAACTATAAGGCCGAAAAAAAAATAAAAAAAAATAAAAACTCAAGGTTTTTTTGAGCTTGTGTATGGTGATTGAGGAAGATGGTCCAAATTATGGTAGGGAAGATGCCCTTCCACACTTGAGAGCATTAGAGGGTATGGGCAACTCGTCTCTTGGGGAAATGGGAGCACCATTCCCTTTCACTCTCAAATACAACTCTTGCCCCAAATAACGCCTGTCCTCCTTCATTGACCTTAGATTCCACATCCCCTCATTGTCCAATTCCAATAGAATTGCAGTCCACGAGTTTGGATACACCTACACAAGATATTCACGGTAAGAAAAATAATGGGAGGACGAATACCGATCCAATTGATCCAAATTATAAACCATCAGATGCCAAATTGGATGGCGGCGGTTTGTAGGAAAAAGGGTTTATTCAGGCTTTGCATGAAGCCGGAGAAAAAAATTTACTGTGTGGTGGACGACTGAACATCAGATATCACCAATTGTGATCTGATGGTTCATATGACTCAAGAAAATCTAGGGCCATGTCTCTCACTTTCCAATCAAATCAATGGAAAGTGATAGGAAAAGGATAATGTTCTTGTGTTTTCATTCTCTCTTCATAATCATCTATACAAATAATCAAATCAATGGAAAGTGATAGGAAAAGGATAATGTTCTTGTGTTTTCATTCTCTCTTCATAATCATCTATACAAATATTCAACGTGTTGACATTTATGATTATATGGTTATATGAATCACAAAATATTTTATGTTGAAACCAATGTTTTTAAGACTTATATCAGGTGGATGTATAGTCGCCGATCAAGATAAAAACAGACCGATTCTCTAAAGTTGGAATAGGTTCAAAATAAAAAAATATTCCCAAATTTAAAGAATAAAAAAATAAAAAAATAATAAAATTATAATGTGTGGAAAAGTGAGGATTCTAAGTGACTCACCTGGCCTTATTATAGAACCAAGCGAGTCACTCTGAAGTGGGACATTTCCCACCAAGAATCAACTAATTCTGATCCGAATCAGTCCTACTGATTTTCTTTCATGGTGAAGAACGAGAGAGAGAGATGGTAGACCACTCACTTGGGTGGTGCAGCGGAAGATGGCATCAATCTTGTTGTTGAAGGAAGTCATGCTGTCATTCCACTTGCCCTCCCCCATCCTGCATCAACATTCATCAAACCCAATACTTTTCCTTCTCCAAAGCAAAAATAGTAAAACTACTAATAAAAATGATAAAAATAAAAAACAGAATTGAAATTCCTCAAAAGTTCTGTTATTAATTTTTCTTGCCCTATGTTTCAATTAGGGGAATCCGTGTTAATTTCGGAAAATAACAGGCGATGAAATTGCCACCAAAAGGATTAACAAGGCACATTCCAAAAGTCCAAGTCACTAGAGCACCTGCACCATATGTGTAGTTGTTCCAGGCACTGTGTTGATATTGTTTAGACATTAGACACTTCAGTTTTTCCATTACCAAATAAAAAAGAAAGGTAAAACTGAGGGTAAAAAAAAAAAACAAACTTATAGAATTACCCCACAACGAAGAAGGAGTAACCATCAAGATGCCATGACTGGAGAGTAGGCTCAGGATTTTGGAACACGATTTGGATGAAAGCTTTATAATCAGCATCAACAACCGAAGTAGCAGCCGATGGTGCACCTTCGACTTCAGATGGGCCATCAGCTATGGCATCAAGTGTAAACACATCAGGGATCTGATAGTAATCAGCCAGCTTTAGAGGGGTGTCCGGGTAAACAAATATCCTTCCATTCACTGTGTAGTGCCTTAGGTTGTCGATTGTTGCTGCGTTGTTCTCGAGCACAATGGTTCGAGTTATGTTTATGCTTCCATAATGGAATGAGCCTTGTGGGTTGGGCCGGGCTGCATTAGCAGTCAAGTTCCACCTTTGATGAAACAACATGGTTAGCCAAAGGAAAATAAGCAACAAAGCAGAGGAAGAAGAGATTGGATATATACCAAATCCCACCTTTAAAAGAAAGTAAGCAACATTTTACTAAACAAAAGGAGAGTAAAAAGAGATGGAAAATTTATCAGTCTCACCTTTAAAAAGAGAGCAACAATTAACAAAACAAAGGAGAGCAAAAATAGCTGGGAAATTTATCGAGTAAAAGAATGATGAAATTCAGCACAGGAAAATATGAAACAAATTAACAAAACAAAGGAGAGGAACAGATTGCAAACTTTTCAAGTCTAATCTATGCTGGAATAAGCAACAATTTAACAGCACAAAAGCGAGGAAGAAGATTACAAGAGATTGGAAACTTATCCAATGTAGCTTTTTAGCTTCAACAAATCAACCAAAAACAATGCAAAAAATTAAGATATAAAGAGACACCCTCAGGGAGAAAATTATAATAAAAAAAAAAAAGCAAATGAAATTTGACATCATGGTTGAGAAATTCATATGATTCCATGCCGATGGTCACTACCATTAAAATGGCCATCGTAACAAGTGTAATAACTGTTTTTTCTTTTCAGGTGCGGTTTGTACAGAGCCTAGGCTTTACACAATCAAATTAGAGCCTTCAATGACGAGAAATGTGGTTTTAATACTGAAAGTCTTTGTGATAGCCGTAAAATATATTTTTATTTATTTTCATCTTTATTTATAAATTTTAAAGTTTCAAAATTAGTGTAGATCGACATATCCATGAAAACTTGAAAATCTTGAAAATTGATGGTCTAAAGATGCGTTACAAAATACACTATTTCCAAAACTTGAAATCATTTTTTTTTATCATGTCCATGCATCTTGATGTTGAGATGATCAATTTGAGGATATTTGGGCATCAAAACAACCTCTTTTAATGGAATTTTTTAAGTAGGCTCTAATTTGATGGTTTAGAGCATCGGTTCTAAATAAACTTTTCCTTTTTCTAAATAGGTACTGGTAGTTTTTTATATGGGATTATATCATTTATCTTAGTTACAAGGAGGTCACAATTGCTACTAGCCATTAGATGTTAAATTGGATGGTTTGGAGTGTAACACAAAGTTTGAAAAAACAAAATTGAAATTTGAGTCTAGTCATTGCTACTAGACATTAGATGTTAAATTGGATGGCTTGGAGTGTACCACAAAGTCTTGAAAAAAAAAAATTGAACTTCGAGTATAGTCAATAATACACCCAACCACCGAATTTGAAATCTAACGAATAATAGTGTGACTGTGACCTATTATTATTAAAAGTAAATGGTCTCTTTGTATGTTTTTACTCTTTATATTTGTTATAATTACTAAGAGTGGCTGTTATAATGGGTGTTACTACCATTTTTCTAAATTAACACCCACTCTTTGGCGATCTTTGTTACAACCACCAATGGCCACTACTGATAAACAAGATCCCTTATAATGACTGTTGAACAGTGATAAAATATCCTTGAAAACCTCAATAAATAGTGGCCAAAACAGATTTAACTTTCAAACCTTATGGATCGGGCTTGCTCGATGGAGTAGGTATAGTCATTGGGGTTGGGTCCGGGGGGCAATTGAGAAGAAAGAAAAGATGGAGTGACGCCGCCTAGGCCTGCATATTGAAGGACCGCTGTGCTATTAAGTTGAGGCTCCAAGAAACGAGAAGAGGCAACCATGTAATAGGAGCCGATTGGCTGGTCGGCATTTACAAGAACCGAGTAAGACTGGCCCGGATGAATGTCAAGGGTGTCATAGTAGTTTTGCAATGTGTGTGAGCCCTCAACTTCAATTAGCCTCATCCTGTGGTTTTGGATCCGGAAATTGATGGATGTTTTCAAACCGACATTCGAGAACCTAAATCGATATAGAGACCCTGCAAGTGCCTCACAAATATAAAATTTTTTGCAAGATGTTTCTCGAAACAAGTATTATTAAGCATGCAAAGCTAATATGTGCTCATAAGTTTGGCATTAAGACCGGTATATGATTATGAATTTGTGAGTACGACATTTTAAGTTCACCATTTAATTGTAATCTGACTTGATTTGGGTGGAATTAATATGTCCAATGTTCAAGGTAATTATTTTTCAGCAATAAGTGGTCAAAATTATGGGAGATATCCATGATCATAAATGCATGAGTAAGATGTTATAAGTTCACCATTAGAGTGGAGCAATTTAATTTTGGTGGGGGCAATTTAACTTGATTTTGGTACAATTACCTGGTTTAACAGTGAAGTTGGATCCATAAGGGCCTTGTCCATTGATGAGGATCCCAGCTGGATGATTCAAGATGGAAGATCCCATATCCAAAGAAGCCCTCAGTTCCTATGGAAATTGAGTGATTAAAAAGTTAAAAAATAAAAAACAAGTTAAGATAAAAGATTCAAATTGAGTAATAAAAAGTTATAAAACTCAAAAACAAGTTAATATAAAATATTAAAAAGAAGACACAACATATAAAAAATGTAAACTCACATTGTGCCCTGTGGTGTACCAGTCTCCCACAAGAATATCGAATTCAGCTGCAGGAGTCGGGAAAGGGGTAGGGATGACAATGCGATTGTTGATTCGGATCGGACCAAAGCCACCGTCTGCTCTTTGAAGGGCGAGAGACGGGTAATAGAAGAAAGACCCTATTTGGTCCTTCACTTGGATGGAGTAAGTCCAGTTTTGACCCGGGGGGATGGGGCAGTTAGTTCCTGGTACTCCATCTTGCCATGAATCCCTCCGCTGCTGGATCCCATTCCTGATAAAATTCCCACAGAAGTTTGTGAAAGAGATGATATTTTATGGAAAATATGAAGTGATTTCAGGTCATTGTATCCCTCTAATAGTAGATTTTGTCTGTGGCAATGGTGACTATTACTAATATCCAAGAATTTAAAATTCGGCTGAGTGACCTTGAGTATAGTATATAACTATAATGCAATCTAAAATACAAAAATCATAAAAATTATACTAATTTATTAAATGAGTTTATGAATATTTTATACTTAATTTTGATTTTTTGACAATGAATTGTGGTTCTTTGCGCTATATTCTACTATTTTCCTCTTTTTTTATATTTTTATGATTTGTTTTCAGCTACAAATCTTTTTTTATTTTGGAATTTCATTTGCTTTTTATTTTTTTATTATTTTCAACAAATTAATTGACTTTCTTTATTTTTAGTCCCGTTTTTGGCTGCTACTAGTTGATCGAGTTTGATCAAGCAATTATGTGCCCGAGCTGAGTAATTGAACCTTGCATATTTGCCGTATCATCCGGTTCAGATCAATTCTCTTAAATTTCTCAACCACGTTTAGTTTGTGTGAAAATGTTTTTTAGAAATCAATTTCACATGAAAAATTCTCTCCTGCGCTCAAGTGTAGAAATATTATTATATTAATTAGCTGTCAATTGGTATGAAAAGATGCACTAAAACCAATTGGTATGAAAATATGCACTAAAACCAATTGGCATGAAAATACCCACTTGACCACATGAAAGCGAACCAACCGTGCATGGCTCTGTTTTATTAAAAGCAACTAAATAATACCATAAATATTGGATAACATTTATGCTCGTGAAAGCTGAACGTGAAGGTCAAATTGAAAACCTCGGAGGCTAATTAAGGAAGATCTATCAATCAATACAAATAAAGTACGATAAACGCTTATTATTGACATAGCTAAAGTTCCAAAGTTCTTGATAGCATGGCTATTGGTAAACCCTTACAAAGTAACCATTAAAATTGAATATTAAACCCTTACGGACCAAGAAAGATGATGAAACCAGGGTATGCATTAAGAAGTTTAAAAGTCCAATGTTTTTAATAATAAGATTAAAAGAAAGCGAGTACAAGTACCATGTTTTTAATAATTAGTGCTGGCAATGGTCCAAGCCTGGGGTTGGGACCAGGCCCAAACCAGCCCTGCACCCTGCCCAAACTATGCCAAAGCCCGACCCTAGCTCTATCAAGGCTGGCCCAGGCGTCGAGCTAGATTGAAAAAAAAAAAGAGTCGGGCACAACCGGCGACCAACCCCGCTTCGGCCTTCTAGACCACATGCTAAGGCCCTACTCACCCCAATTAATAATATGATTATCAATTAATAATATGATTAAGAGAGAGAGTACCAAGTAAGAAGGAAGGGCACGTCAAGGTTATTGTGGACGTTCACGTTAAGAATGTTGTTTGTGGTTGTGTTCAAGATGGGGCCAGGAAACTGGTCGTTTATAGTAATTATCTGCGCCACCCAAACTTCTCTGTCAATTCTCAAAGGTATAAAACACAATAACAGAGACAGAGAAACTCGTACCACGTATAAAACACAATAACAAGTTCATGTATAAACCATAATAACAAGTTCACAACACCGAAAGCAAGCACCGGAGTGAGTCACACCTGTTTCTCAACCCCAAGAATGGAAGCTTTAGAGTAAGAAACATTCCAATCAAAATACTGAACAGGATCATCAGCCTGCACCAATACCACACACACCAACCACCCAATTATCAGAGCGGATTGTATGAACCCCATCCCTCTTTCTCTCTTTTGTTGTTGCGGAAATTTCCCCTCTATTGTTGAGGAGTGTTTTGGTTGCAGAGAGAAAGAAGTTAAGTGTGCAGAGGTATCTTCCCTTTGTTGGGGAGAGAGAAGGAAACCAACAAACTTGGAGAGAGGTAGAGTTTGTCTCGGTCAATAAAGAAGTCTCCTTTTTGAATTGAGTCTCCTGTTTTAAGATTCAAAGGTCAAATAAAGAGGAGAGGTCCTCTCGCCAATACCAGCTACTTCACGATAACCCTCAAAAAACTGCCTCTTGCGAAATCGATAACTGTTAAATTAAGCAAAAACTGATTCATATATATACTCATTGTAGAGAATACGAAATCATCATAAAATTATCTTATTTTCTTATGATAATTTAGAAGGCGATGAACGTTCATTAAAAAAAAGAAGGCATCCAATAATATGAAATCATGTCGATAAGGATCTTTAGATAAGTTTGAATGCGATAAACGTTCATAAAAGAAGGCACCTGATAATATGAAATCATATCGAGATACGAAAGCAATGAATGGACGATAACTGAAAAATTAAGAAAAAACCGAAATATGAATTATCTGATTGGTATCTTTTCCAACGTGAATCATCTAATTTTTCTTGGCGATAAATGTTAAAAAAAAATAATCAGGAAGGCTCCCGATAATATGAAATTATTGGTATAATTGAGAGCTTGCTGATAATATAATGTTAATTAATTATTTGAAAGTTTGTGGGTGAAACGTGGGATGAAGTAACCAGTAAGGTGAAAATGCGAAGAGACGTTCATGTTTTAGCCTCTCTCAAGATTGTATTGTATTTTGCCCCATTATTGTTAAATTACACATAGGTACACCAGGTTTTTTGACATATCTGAAAATAACTCTTCCAATCGTTCAACAGGTTTCACCGCGGTTGCATCCACATCCAAAATCTCTTCATCACTCTCGCTGGCTGGCTCGGACGAGGGGCACCTCATGCTCCAATATGATTGTGCCAAGTGCACGCCCTCACATACTCGCATGTGCATTATATACTTTATGTGCACCACACTTACACCACATTCTTACCTTTTGTTCCATTAACATAAAGTAAGAGAGCGTTCATGTCCCTCATTCTTCACTCTATCCAACATGGGACTAAAACCCCATCATTTTTCTCTCCATACAAAACGATGGAACACATTTTCCAATAGAGTGAATTACGTACAAACAAAACGAATTACTAAAATATAAAATCATTCAATTTTGGGTTCAAATTACGCGGAAAGTCGGTCAACCTGAGGTTTTTTAGTTTTTTCAAAATATCCTCGGACTACAATTTATTTTATTTTATTGATGTGCCCATACCAATATTAGCATCACTGAACCACCGTGCTCATCTAACCAGTTCGAGGTGGGCATCCTCAGATGAAAGACCGACTTTGTTAAGCATTTAGAGGCAGTTCGACCTATCTATTCTCGGCCTTCTCTGGTGCTCTTCTAGGCGGTCTGCGATTGCCATCCTCATACCGCATTAACTCATTCATTTGCTAAGATATAAGGTGGTCGGAGGATGCCAACCTCAAACTGCATTAGCTCATTCGTTTGCTAAGATATAAGGCGGTCTGAGGATGCCAACCGCAGACTGGCCTTTGGATTGGGTACCACCCCTCACACTAAGACACTATCCTACTAAAAAAAACTAAAAATGAAATAAAATTAAAAAGCGATCCGGCGATGGCTTCTTCAGATCAAGAGGTAATTAAATAGAAGTTGACCGACCTTCCACGTAATTTTCATCCAAAATTGACCCACTTCATATTTTTCTATTTATTTTTATGTTTATACATTAAATTACTTTTTCCATTTCAAACACCATGGAACAAAAGAGAGATTATTTTGAAATACTAACTAGAATTTTTCCAAACCCAAAAATATGCCAACATTAATCTTCGCTATTCAACGGCTTTGATTTAAATGGCCGACTTGCTCAAAACATGGGAGATGCTAGTGGGACGGGGATCGAAAATTTATACCCATATAAAATGATTAATAACGGATCGTTGGTTGCTGTATAAAGAGGATTGCATGGAAATTTTATTTCTTAAGCATCAACATTGAACTACTCGCGGCGGAGTCCACTCGGATTGGCGAGTGGCCGAGTCAAGTACTCGAGTACAAGTCAAGTATAACAAATGGGATTGTATGCTATGAGACCATTTATTTTTGTTACAAGGTGGTCAGTCAAATTAGGTGGCACAGGATATGTTACGAAATTCGAAAAAAAAAAATTTAAAGCTTTGAGTTTAGTCAATGACACTTGTACAACCATCCGATTTGAATCTGATGGACAAAAGTATTTGTGACTTAAATTTTTTTAAAAAAACTTTGAGTCTTGTCAATGACATTCTTATAACCATCCGATTTGAAATTTGATGGACAAAAGCATTTGTGACCTCTTTGTACTAAAAGTAAATGGCCATAAGATGATTTTTTAAGGTTGTTGCATCATATTACTATACAACGGTTGCATAAAATCATTGCCCTTTTGTATAGAGCAATGATCCAATGCAACAGTTGTATTATAGTATAATGCAACGACACTTCTAGAAAACCATATTTGTGGTATTTGTATGAGCTCAAATTTTTCACACACACTCTCTTTATCTCAATAATCAATCTCCAAAAAAAAAACAGTTCAATTTGAACCGTAGATATGGTCAAAATGAATCCCCTCCAAAAACGAATCTAGACCATTCATTTCATGAATTTCAAGGTCTTAGCCTTTATGAACTCAAAATCATTTTTTTCTTTTTTAACATTGTTTATCTAATGATAATAAAGCCATTCAAAAAAATTGGAAATGAAAAAATCCTTCGAAGACCTAGATCTAAGCATCTCACTAAAATGAAGGGCCTATATTAATTGGGCTAAAAAAATATTTTCTAGATTGTGTTTTCAATTTTTTCTTTTTTTATGATTATTCATTATAATAAAAAGAGTATATATTTCAAATTTTGGATCAAACAAATGGCCATAATATGGTTTTTTAAGGTTGTTGCATCATAATCTATACAACGGTTGCACGAAATCATTGCCTTTTTGTATATATTTCCATAACAAAAAAGTAAAAAAGGCATTATATAAACTTCTGGGATTGATGCGTAAAAATTATACATTCAATTCGGATCAGTTTTAGGCTGATTAGTAAGTTTTTATTGCCAAATGCCATATTTTTTCTATTTTTATTTGTTTTTTTTATCTTTTTGAAATGTCCCCAACCTAAATCATTTTTTCAAAATCTATTTTTAATATTATTTTTTCAGCTAAATTGGAATTTGTGATGTTAGTTTTTAGATGTGTTTCACTCTTAATTTTTTTTATTTTGTTCTTTAGTATTTCTGTTTTAAAATTTTTAAGCCTTTTTGGCACATGACTCAGCCAAGTCTGAGTACTTGGTGGAGTTAACCGTCTCGGGCCAAGGCTGATTCCAACGCCTGAGCCAAGTCTAAAAGCATGAGTAAGCATGAAGTAAAAGGATTATATTTAAAAATAGTTTCTGTTTTTACGGTAAACATGAAATATTGAAGGATTATATGATTTTGCAAAGAAAATAAATTTTTACATTAATATTCAGTTAATGTTGGCCATTATTCTCAGTGGTAAGAATTTTCATAAAATAGTTATTTTCTATAAATTTCATGATCTCATTGTTTGCCAATTCATCGGCAGTCAAGCTCCCATCAGATGTCAACTGATCGGCGGTCAAGTATTCGTCTGTAGTCAAGTATCTATCGTCGATCAAGCACTCACCGGTTGTCATGGTATCACCGTCAGTTAATATGAATCACCGGCTGTCAAAGTAACTCATTGTTGTCAAGATGCTGACCGACACTCCAGCGGTCAAGACCTTCTTTGCACAGTGGCCATTCACCAATAGTGTCTAACTAACAATATGTCCCAAAGTGCTCTATTCGGCAATCAAACAAGATGCAGCCTACAAGTAGGTTTTTTTCGTTGCTTATCCTACAACCGCTCGGCTCGCTATATGGGCAAACTGTGATAGAAATACCGAGCAGTGTGTCGGAGTCAAGGAAAACGCGTTTTGATACCATTTGTTGGGCTCACCCAATTGGGCCCTGAGAATGCGGATGCACGCAACGAAACCTAGATTTGTAGGACACAAAATATACCAAAAACAAATGTGTCTGTGTGTGGAAAATAACCACAATTAAGTAAACAAAATAAATAACTTACTAGCATTGAGATTTTACGTCGTTCACCTTTTTAGGTTACGTCAATGAGTGAAAGAGATTAAATCTACTATTAAAAATAATAGTTACAAATTCCTCCAAGAAGCAAGCTTTCTTGGGCTCCTTGGCTTCTTCTAGAGACTTTCTCTCTTAGCTTTTGTACTCTTCTCTTGAAAGTGAACCTCTTCTTGGTGTAGGGAAGAAGAGAGAGAAAGTTACCCTTCTTCTTAGAGATAGAAGAAAAAGAAAAAGAAGAAGAGAGAGAGAAAGTATTTATGTGTGTTTATCATAGTGCCTCTTAAAGAGAGAGAAGCCAAGCAGAGATATAAACTCAGACAGAGAGAGAACCTTATATAAATAAAAACCTAGAGAAGGAAAGTCTCTAGAAGATGCCGGAGAACTTAAGAAAGCTTGCTTCTTAAAAAAAATTTGTAATTGATATTTTTAATAGTGGATGCAATGTATTTATCCCAATGATTTAAAAAGCGAACCGCCCAACTCCTGGGCAGGCCGCTTAGGCGGTCCAAAAAGCCTGGGCACATCACCTAGGCCTAGGAGGCCAAATTAGGCGGGATATCCATGGGCGCCCGCCTAGGCAGGCCCAACTCCCCCCCCATGGTCTGCACCCTGCCAAGGGGAGGAAATGCCCCACTTTGAGGGCATTTTTTGGTCTTCTTTTAATACTAAAGAGGAAAAATTGTAGATTTTAGGTTCATTTGAAACCTGAAACCCATTATAGGCTATTTTGAGAAAAAATATTTTCTTTTGAGTGATGCAACTTACCCTACTTTTTCTAATGATGAATGTTGATTAGAGATTCTTTTGAGTCTTCAAGTATTTCTTTTATTTTTGTTTTCCTCCTCATGGTTGTGTATTGTGAATTTGTGGCTCACTGGTTTGGTAACTTTGGTAATTTGGTTGGTATGTGGATGGTAGAGTGTGGACTATCAAACCATGGATAATTGGATATGGACTTATGGTCATGGAGTATGGATGAGTGTGCTCTATGTGGCCTTGTGTACTATATGTTTAATGTGCCCTAAATCACTAATTATTATGTGTTATATAGTAATAGTTATATTGTTAGACTATGGAGATATTTTTCTTTCTACTGGGCCGCCCAGGTTCTGGGCACCCGCCTAGGCTATTGGCCGGTTGGATCCCCAACTTCCTAAGCGTCGCCTAACACTTTTTGAAACATCAGCCTAGACCTCCCTTGGCTGCCTAGGCACTGCCTAGTGCTTTTTGAAACATTGATTTGTCCCATGGACGTAGCCTAAAAAGGTAAACCACGTAAAATATCTGTGTTAGTAAATTATTTAGCGCCCGCCTGGGTGAGTTCCCGGGCGCCTAGGGCCGAAAATTCCCCTCGTTGAGGGCATCTTCAGTCATTCTTTTAATACTAAAGGGGTTTTTAATACTAAAGGGGCAAAATTGTGATTTTAAGTTCATTTGCAACCTAAAACCCATTAGAGCCTATTTTAGAGCGAATGATGAATTATGATTGAAGATTCTTTTTAATAATGCAGCTGGCCCTACTTTTTCTGATGATGAATTCTTATTAAATATTATTTTGAGTCTTCAAGTATTTCTTTCATTTTTGTTTTCCTCCTCTTGGTTGTGTATTGTGGATTTGTAGTTCACTGGTTTGGTAACTTTGGTAATTTGGTTGGTACATTAAGTTTTAACTATGTGTGGACTGTGGAGTGTGGACTATCAGGCTATGGATAATTGGATATGGACTTATGTTTATGGAGTATACAGGAGTGTGTACTAAGTGGATTTGTGTATTCTATATTTAATGTGCACCAAATCCCTAATTCTTATGTGTTATACAATTATACTTATATTATTAGACTATAGAGAAATTTTTCTTTCTACTGGGCCGCCCGGGTTCTAAGCACCCGCTTAGGTGACGCCTAGCACTTTTCGAAACATTGATTTATCCCATGGATATAACTTGAAAAGGTGAACCGCGACGTTCTAGGTGCCTGCCTAGGCGACGCCTAGCACTTTTTGAAACATTGATTTATCATGTGGATATAACTTGAAAAAGTGAACCACGTAAAATCTCTGTTCTAATGTGTTATTTAACGCCCGCTTAGGCGGGTTCCCAGGTCCCCAAGGGAGGAAATTCCCCCCGTTGAGGGTAATTTTTTAGTCATTTTTTAATATTAAAGGGAAAATTTGTTGATTTTAGATTCATTTGAAATCTAAAACCCATTAGAGCCTATTTTAGAAAGAGAATGATGAATGATGATTGAAGATTCTTTTGAATGATGCAGCTGACTCTACTTTTTCTGATAATGAATGCTTATTAAATATTCTTTTAAGTCTTTAAGTATTTCTTTCATTTTTTGATTTTCTCCTCTTGGTTTTGTATTGTGGATTTGTGGTGCACTGGTTTGGTAACTTTGATAATTTGATTGGCAAATTTTAAGTTTTACCAATGTGTAGACCGTGGAGTGTGGTAACTTTGGTAACGTGGTTGACAAATTATAACTATGTGTGTGGAGGAGTGTGTGCTAGGTAGACTTGTGTACTATACATTAATGTGCTCTAAATCTCTAATTCTTATGTGTTATACAATTATACATATACTATTAGACTATAAAGGCATTTTTCTTTACATTGGGTCGCCCAAGTTTTGGGCGTCCGCCTAGGCATTAGACCTTTGACCGCCTAGGCATCACCTAACACTTTTTAAAACATTGATTTATTCAGTAGACGTAGCCTGAAAAGGTGAACAGCATAAAATCTCTGTGCCAGTAAGTTATTTATTTTATTTGCTTTATTGCGGTTATTTTCTACTCATATACATGCACATTTATTTTGTATATTTTATGTCCCCCAAATCTCAACTCCGTTGTGCACATCTGCATTTGTGAGAGGGCTTGACAGTGAGCCCAATAGTAGAGAGCCTTGATAAGTTCAAATAGTGCATCCATAAGTATCCCGCAACAACCCCCTTCTGTAACACTTCCATCAAAGTCAAATTTAACACTATTGAAACTGGTTTGCATTTTTACTTTTTGAAAAACTTCCGTCAGATGATATTTCAAAAAAAAAAAACCAACTTTTCCTTCTTTTTTCGTTCTGTAACAGGAGGGATATGTTGATATTTCCAAAAAAAAAAAAACTAGCTTTTCCTTATTTTTTCATTCTGTATTATTTTTCCATTCTGTAACAGGAGGAGGAAGGAAATCCTAGGTTCGTTCCGATATAATAAGTCAAACTTAAACCGCTACATCATTATCTAATATAATAAGATCGTCAAGGGGGCAATTATACGGGAGATTTGGAAGATGCGTAATTGAAAGACTTTCGAGGGGGAAGGTGTTATCTTATAGAGTCATTGTTAATATTTGACATTCTTTGTAGTGCTAGTTGGCTATCAGAAAAGCGGGTAAGGGAATCTCAGACAGTAGGGTAATCTTAGAGGTTGATGTCTCCATTAATTTTTTCCATTTCTTTAGAATGCAAATGATTAAATGTCATCCGAAGTCTTTATGGTTGCACCAGTTCAAGGTTGTTTTGCAGGTTGCACCTGTTCAAAGTTGTTTTAAACTTAATTTTGATGGGAGTTCTTTGAACAACCCTAGTTTGACAAGTATTAGAGGTGTGGCTAAGGATTGGAACACGTTAACTATTTTCTAATATGTTGGTCCTATAGGTAAGCAGCATCCTTAACGATTTCCTTTCACCATGTATTTACAAAGGCAAATGTGGTGACCAATTCGCTCGCTAAGATTGGCTTATTCTTGCCTCTTTTTTCTGATGATGTAATTGCTCCCATTTAATTTTTCCTATTAATAAAGCCTTAAACATTTGTCAAAACATGTCAAAACAAATAAGCCTTGCGAGCTCCTCAAAACTTGCCATACCCTTAAAATTTGTAACCTATAGCTAATTTGAGCCTAGTGCTAATTATCTCCAATACATTCATATTCACCCAAAAAATAATCTCCAATAAATTCATTTTAATAATAATTATCTCCAATAAACTCATAATAATTATTATTTATCTCCAATAAATTCATTTTATCAATATGTCCAACGAAATACCAATAAATTTGATTTATCATGTTATTTTAAAGACTAATGTTATTACCATGGTAATAAACAAATCATGGATAATGACATGCAATTGCAACATTACCAACTTTGAGTTTTGCACGAAACACGTCACATTCCGAAAGGGCTCTAGGCAATGGCCAGCAATATATAAGAAATCAATTATGGATGTGTAAATTAAAGCTACTGATATGGATAATAAGTTTTGATATTTTTATTTTGAAAATTTTATCAAAATATTCATCAGAGATTAACAGCTTAATATTTTTCTCGCTTGAAACTTTTCCAACTTATTAACACATGCTTTTTTATAGATATTTTAAAAATTAATCAAAATAAATTAGTAAAATATTAAATAATTCATTTCTTGTAGGTACTTGGATAAATTTCCCTTTAATTGTATTATTGTTTGTTTAATTTACTTCATATTAGGTTTTTAAAGCTTTTTTTTTTTGGGTGAATAGGTTATTAAAGCATTTAGTTTTAAAATTGTACAGTACTGGCACATGCTTACGAATATCAATGCAACCTATTTTAGTTAAAATATTAATCTAATATATTAAGTCCCAATAATTATTTGGTAATTTCCCCGTAAAATAATATAACATCACTTTGCAAAGGACCCAGGCATACTTCTCGCCCATCTTTTTCAAAGCAAATTTCCTACTAGAATTTCTCAAATATTTTCGATATTTAACAAATGTTCATAAAAGTGTGCATGCATGCACATGTATTGTGTTGTTTGTGGGTGTGTGGGCGAGAGAGATTCTCTTTTGAAATTTGATCAGTTATAAAAAGGTGTTTTCCTCGTAATCGGCGACACCTTTAAAGGATGCAGAAGTGCAAATTCTCTTGCAAATCAGAACAGTACTCACCTGCAAAAAACACTTAGACACTCAAATTGAAGTTTTACGAGATGTTCTCACACGGTTCTTATTGATAATTACTCCATACCAGTTGCGTTTTGGCGTAAGATCCCCATGTCTAGAAACCTTATTGGATTAATGCCCATGTTTCATGCATGAAGCTCGTTTGTCAAAGTGACAGAAGAAAGCTTGCCTAAGCAATTTGTTGACATGCTTTCTAGATTTCCTCCTTGAGCGTCTTTCTTAAAGCATCCTCCATTTTGAAAAATATCAAGGCAAATGTTCCTGTAAACAGAAGCTGCCAGTCAAAACACTGAAGAAACTCTCACGAACATAATAAAAGAAAGCGCCTTCAACACAAACAGACATACATTGGAATTTGATGACATAAAGATTAAATTATAACTCATGTGATGCTTTGGTAAATTTAATAGGCCAACAACCCAGCTTGTGCGGGTCATCACAGGCTGGCTCTGCAGCTTTCATTTGCCTCAAATAAGCTTCTTTTTTTTTTTTTCCAATTTCTAGTGAAATGGGCACGAGACCAATCACCAAAATCCTTTGTTTTCGTTTCCTTTTTTTTTTTTTCTCCTTTTTCTTTTGAGGATAGTTGATTGTAGCCAAAGTCCTTTTTAGGTGCCCAAAAAATGATGAGAGCAGTTTTATGGCCTCAAACTTTGTGACTGGCAAGGTCTAGCCTTCAAAGATTCACTTGTTTCTCTCTAACCATATGGTCCAAAGTGTCAGGGAAAAGGGAGGCTCGCCACAGGAAGAACCCTAATGAAGGGATGGTAGGATATAATATGCCAAGAGAAACTGCTGTACAGAATGGGTCTCAACCTCGACAAACCAAACAGCTCGAGTAAAAACAAGGTAATCAAGCAGGAGATGGTTAACGGATTCTTTGGCCTCTTGACACATGATAAGAGGTTGGGTATCTGAATGCCTGTTCTTTGAAGCTGGTGTCCCATTAGGATTCTGTTGGAGACAGCCAACTATGTAGAGGCTTGGAATTTGGGGGTGCCATGTTGAGCCAGGTGCTGCTGGCAATCGACAGGTGTGCAGGGTCGAGAGTAAGACAGTAATAGAATACGAAGCCGAGAAGGACCCTGAGGAATTAGGGGTGCAAACCATATTGCCCCTACCATAGTTTGGAATACTCTTAAGGTCTCGAGGAGTGAGAGCAGCAAGGCAAGGTCTAATTCTTGTCCATTAATGCTGCGCCTGAAAGTAGTTGGTCCAAACGACTTGAACCCCCATAAATTCTAAGAACTGAGCTACCATGGCATCATGGTTGCCCATGATTACGTGGTTGGAAGGAAAAAGAGTCCAGAGTGGAACTCCCAAGCCAAAGATCTTTTCATAATCTTACATGCCTGAGGTCTGAACAGAATATTTTGTGGGGAAAAGCTTTGATACACTGAGTAATGATCTTCCATGCTCCAGATGCCTGTGCATTGGATCTACCACAAGGGAGCCAGCGCAAGATATAAACCCATACTTCTGAAAGATTACCTGCCGTCATAAGTGACTCTCCTGATCCGCAAAGCGTCACCATTTTTCCAAAAGTAAATGGGTCATCATAGATTTTCCTGATACCCAAGCCACCGGAGCACTTTGAACTGCAAACAGTGTCCATTTGATTACGTGAAACATGTGAACCCCTAAGCTCGACATAAGAATTCCCTAAATTCTCTCTAAGTCTATCTGCAACATACATAGACGACCCAAACTTGGCACAGGAAATACCAGGATGTTTCAGAGAGGGGCTTTAATGAAGAAAATCCTTCACCTGAGGAAGTGACATGTCCCGGCAGTAAGACTTCTATCAAAGCATTCGACCACCCTATCCCATTGGGTCCTTTCTGGGTTCTCCAATGCAAAGGGGATCCCCAGATACTCACTTAGAAGGGGTTCCAACGAGCAGCCAAGGCGCTTGGCTAGCATCGAGGCTTCGTCCATCAAGATTCCGACCCCAAATATTTTTGTTTTAGACATATTCAACTTAAACCCGTAAATATTTCAAAATATCATAGAAACCAGAGGCTATCCACTTGTTGGGGGTTTGCATTGCAAATTACCAAGGTATCATTCACATATTGTAACTGGGAGATTTCCAGGTCAAGCATGGATATTAACTTATTCCGGTTCATAGAGGTTTGATAAGGGTCTTACAAAAGACATCATCATAATGGCAAACAGGAATGGGATAAGGGATCTCGCCACCACGACTTCTCTTTATTGGGAAACAACCTCTTTGGGAAACACTGAGACGATTGATGGCAGAGAACCATGGCCAGGAAACAGAGCCCCTCATCCAGGACCTACGTTTCTCTGAACCCCATGTGGAAAAGTACTTATATCAGGATTTCCAGTCAATATGGTCACATCCTTTCTCCCAATCAAGGACAACGACCAGTCCCCCTGATTTTGGAGAGATGCCTAGTGTGGACGAAATCATGTGGTACTAGGGCACCCTCCAAGATTTGTCCATCTTTACAAATGCCCCATGGGGAGAGGAGACCACTAGGTATAACATTTCGTATAACATTTCCCGAAATCCCAAGGCTAACACCTTGGCCAAGATCTTCTATGAGCTATTGAGTAGGCTTATGGGCCTGAGGCCTTTGAGATCCTCGGCACGTTCCAGCTTCAGGGCCTGAGACCTCTGTTGAATTTGTAGAAGAAAGCTAAGATACCTCGGGTTAAGGTGTTCCAGAAGTTACAGGACAAGGACAGTGGGAATTCATTGGGACCAAGGGCTTTGTCTTGGCAAAGGTCAGCAAACGCTTGACGGACCTCTTCAATCTTGAAAGGCTTTCTAACCAATCTGCTTAATCCTTAGGGAAAGAGGGGCAAGACTCACAAAAGGAGGCTGGGGTGATTAGAGACAAACAGAAATTTTAAGTAATTTATAGTGGCTCTACTGACTTCTCAGGAACCCCCATAGATTTTGTGCCCCTTTCTAACCTGAAGGATAGTGTTATGTCTTCTGTGACTATTGGCAATATGATTGAAGAATGTTTTGCATTCCCCCTCATTTAACCAAAGGACCCAAGATCTCTGTTGCCCATAGTTTCTTCCTGTTTTAAGACTACCTGAAAATCAGCTCTAGCTTTTAATATCTTGTTTTTCTCGGCTAGTAGATGATCTCTAGACTCCTCTAACAGGTCTAGTTCACTAATGGCCCTCAAAAGTGAGTCTTTTAGTCCTGAAGTACCTGAGGTGTGATTGATTCCAGTCTACAAGTTTACCCATGTTCCCCAGCATGAAACCCACCCAGCAAAACCACAAAGCAAGACCACCAGATAGGACTCAGACTCTAAAAATCTTTGCTATTAAGCCACACATTTTCAAACTGAAAGGGCTTTCAACCTCTAACAGTAGGCTCAGTGTCTAAGGATGGCACGTGGCCTGGTCTTACGGAGTGTTCTATAGTGAAACCCTGGGAAAACCTCTTTCCACTCTGGAGAGATAAGGAAACTGTCTAGTTTGGATAAGATAGTGTTAGAGGCATGGTTGGACCGGTCTACAAGTTTACCCATGTTCCCCAGTCCCCAGAAAGACCATGAAGGGAGACCACCAGATAGGACTCAGACTCTAAAATTCTTTACTATTAAGCCACATTTTTTCAAACTGAAAGGGCTCAGTGTCTAAGGATGGGCCCATGGTCTGCTTTTAGGGAGAGTTCCACAGTGAATCTCTGGGAAAGCCTCTTTCCACTCCAGGGAGACAAGAAACTGTCTAGTTTGGGTACGGTAGTGCTAGAGGCACGGTTGGACCAAGTGAATGCTGAGCTATTAAGGAGCATGCCAACGAGATACTTTCTAAGGACAAAATCTAAAATTGCAGACATACTTGTTCGATGAAGATGCGGCTATGTTTGTCTTCCTTAAAGGACATCTTACCACACTGAAGTACCCCCTACTCCCCATAGAAGGGGTGTATTTGTGGGGAGGGGATGGAGAGGGAGGTGGTGGTTAAAGCTATCTGAACTAGCTCTTAGCACGAAAGGCATCACTGAGAGCAGGCCATAGACCACTATAAACTTGAAGTTGAATTGATCTGCTCCCCTGGATAGTGAGACAGTATTTACTGAGAAGGCATCTATTTGAGCACTTAGAGAGATTGAACTAAGATGGGTCCCAGAGGACCCAGATCCCTCCAGACCCCTCTTGGGCGGCGAGTGCCGAACACTGGCACAGTCTCCTGACCCAGACCTGGAGGGCACAGAGCATGGATGGGCTGGCCAACTTGGCTTCTAAGATGGCCATGATGTCAGTTCCATATTAGTGGGTGAAAGACAGAATGGCACTCTATTTAGAAATGTCACCCAGGCCCCTAATATTCCACACAAGGGCCTTTATTAGGGCGGAAGAACAGAAGAGACCACACATATGGGGGACCATCTGTGGCCTGCTCTACCTCCAATGGGCAGAAAGGGGTGAATGGGATTGGGAGGGGCCCTCGGCCTACTCGTTTGTGATATTACAGGTGAGCCTACTAATATCTCTATTGTTTTTACTATGTCCTTACTAGACCTAACTGCATTGCTCCTAATGAAGCTGCTGCTAGCACTTGTTGGTCCGTGGTATTTGAAGCCCATGATGGAAAGTTGTTCTTCAATGTTACCTCCGGTCAGATCGAGCCTCTCCTCCTCATTTGAATCAAAAGAAAAGATGGACTCCACATCGGAGTCCAGGTAGGAGCCTTGGGAGCTGGAGGGGCCTTCTTCAGCAAATCCAGTGACTAGAGCTCCTCAACTCCAGGATCGGTAAGGGGGTAGGCCATGGGGGAGGGCTTCTATCATTCTGACATTCGAGGGAGTGATGAGGGAGGCGATGTACAAGGTAGAAGAAGTGCTTGAGCCAGAAAAAGGAAGGTTGGCGCTCAACCTTGCTGTGAGGATTATGTTCTGATGAATTAACAAATGTTGAGTTGATGCAAGAGCATGGGGGTTGAATGATGATTTTGTGGTTTGCAGGAGAGAGGGGGACGGGGAGAGGAAATTCTAGGGGACCAACGGCTTCCGATGGTCTTGTTGTGAGATTAGCCATCAGGAGCACAGTCGACAGGGTTGTGTCTGATACATTATGTTGTGGAGTAATTTACCACAAGAACCAAGTTGCGAGACCTTCTGATGGTTTCTGTATATAATCAAAAATTAAATGTTGATCATGGATCCCTTACCACAAGAAATAATGGGTTACATCAACAACATTTTGAACCCATAGTCCACTCGTCCAATTCTGAACCATCAACTATCCATAATTAGGCCCCCTCGTTGATTTCAGGGATGGGGTGGAGGCATATATTTTCAATCCTCTAAGATCCCAAAGTCCCCAAAATGGTTTCAACCTCTGAAACAATTTACATGATTATGAACTAGTCATTTTAGCCCTATTATTGCATATCTCACAGTTCTTGCATATCTCATTGCCTCAGAGAAATTATTAATATTGGTCGCTTATTTGAGGTGTATTACCGTAACTGGTCAAAATGGTATCTTGCATGTCAAAGCAGTCCATTGAATTTGATGCAAATATTTTTCTTCTACAAAACCTAATCATCACTGATTTTGTCTTTCTACATCCATGCTTTGCAGTTTGCACACACTATATAGCCTATCTAATATGCATAAATAAAGAACACTTTGGCATCTCTACATGATACTTCCAAACAAGGCTTGGAAGCTATGGAACGACGACACACACATTTTTACAAAAAACGGAACAGAAAACAATGACATACATGTGGACACACAATACATGCACACAGACACGGAAATATGTGTCAACATGTGTTTAGATATTTTCATTTTCTGAAATGGCAAACATGGCATGTCTTCTATGTGGACACGTGAGTTCACATAGTGGACTAACAAGACAGGCATGTATGCAGTGTAAAACACAAGTTTCTGCATTGTAAGACACATTTGTCCATTTTATAAGACACATGTTGTGGCTTACAAAATGTCTTTGATTTTATATATGAATATAGGGGAGTGATTTCATGCAACGGATGTATAATAATATAATAAACCAATCTTAAAAAAGCATGTTAGGGCCATTTGTTTGACCCCAATTTTAAATATATACTCTTTTCATTCCAATGAACAATCACAAAAAAGCAAAATATGAAAACACACCCTAGAAGGTGTTTTTTCCCCAATTAACATAGGCCATCCAATTTTGCAAGATGCTTAGATCAAGGCCTTAGAAGGATTTTTTTTCCTTTCCAAATTTATTAATTGGCTTTATTATTATTAGATGAACAATGTTAAAAAAACTAAAAAGATGATTTTGAGTTCATAAACGCCTAGATCTTGAAATTTACCAAATGGATGGTCTAGATCCACTGCTAGAGGGGTCTCATTTTGACCATATCTAGCATGCAAATTGAATTTTATTTTTTGGGGGATTAATTATTGGGATTAAGAGAGGGTGTGTGCAATTTTTGGGGTCATACAAATGCCACAATCTAGAAGTATGGTCTCATTATATTGCAATGACGTGGTGACGTGAAATCACACCCCATACATATATAGACACATTTGCATTGTAAAGACTTGTGCAAACATTTCGTACTATAATTTGGCAAAATATAGGAAGGAGAATTGGCTTATTGAATCCGAGTCAGACATGGATTCTTGTCTCTTTTCCTTCCACAATTATTTGGACAGATTGTATCACATGAAGAGGGAAAGTTTAACTAATTATTACTATCACTTAGTAAAAAATAAGAATGGAGCATTCAATAAATATTCACATACCCCATAGAGGGAAAGTTTGACTAATTATCATTATCACTTAGCAAACAATAAGAATGGAGCATTCAAAAAATATTCACATTCTCCATAGAACAAAATTTTAACTAATTATCACTATTAGTTAGCAAACAATAAGAATGGAAATGGTTATCAAACTAAGGAAGGTGGGTAGTTGTGTGTGTGTGTGTGTGTGTGTGTGTGTGTGTGTGTGTGCATGTGTGTGTGTGTGTGTGTGTGCAG